TTCTACAAAATAATTACATTTTTAATAAATATAAATTATTTAAAAATTTATTCTTTTGAAACGAAAAGAACATTATTTCTTAATGATTTCAAAGATATTTTGTATTGTTATTAGTAAAATATATATTATTTTTTTACATATAAGATACAAAGTTGATTAAAAGATAACTTAAATTTTGTAGAGATAAGAAAAAAAATTAAATATTGAATTTTTAGAAAATATTCTTAAAATACATCTTTCATTTATCGGATTATGTAATCCACGTGTTAGTTATATAGTGGTGTGTTATGTCACACACATTATTGCTGGAATATATACTACTATTTTAAAATATTTATGTGTATAATATTAGGATATATTTATGATACATACGAGGAATTAGTGTAATAATTACATTAAAAATGTAAAATTTAATTCAGTTATTTGAATAATGTAGTAACTAAAAATCAATTATGACGATACTCATACCAATATATATACAATCATTCTATTTATATAACAAATATATTGTTCTTGTGCCATAAATGGTAATAATTCATGTTAATTTAATATTCTATAATTAGTGATGATTTTAAAGATTATTTTAGAAAAATAATATAATTATTAACAAATTTCAAAATAATAAGTAAATTGATTACTATTTTTAATTTAGAATTAGTACTATAAAAGGACACAAAATTAGTGAATGAGGAGAAATTTGATTTAAAATTAGTAGTTACACATGTGTTCCGAAAAATAATACGAATTTTATTGCTGCACTACGCCTTCATGGGATTTTGAAATTGATTGCAACATTTACGGAATGATATGATGCATGACTAGTCACTTATTGCTTTATCTGATTAGTTCTTTCTATTTTTAACGTATTTATTATTCATGTATATAATTGAAAGTATATTTCTCTTCTACTAATTCTTACTGTTTTCAAACTTATGATTAAATTTTGATTTCATTCTCTTATTGTGTCTGATTTCAAATGAAATTTTATTTATTAAAGTAGTGGAACTAGTTCAAGTGCGCCTGTAAATAACATGATGTACAATGTTATTCTTTGTCTAAACATATTGAAGAGTGAAACTTGCATTATTTGTATTATTATAAATTACGAAGATTTTTATCGTGGTTCTTTTGTTTGGTTTTGTTTCTTAAAGTGAGATTTCTTTTAGTGAAAGAGATATAACTCTTGTTTATAAATAAATGTTGGTAACTTGTGTTGTTTATGATAATTTTAGGTTATACTCAGTGTTCTTTACTTTTACAAGTTTCAGGTGATGTTTATCTTCTTAGTGTTGGTCAACTTGTTTGGAAAGGTGTTATAGAATTCAATCATGTTTGGATACTCAATTCTCACTAAATCTCATTTTCTCAAATGTTGTTTGTTAAGTGTACAACTAAATCATTTTTTCTTTAATAAATGATAACGTTGTCATTGATGTTGTCAACTAATACTATTAAACAATAACAATATTAATGTTGTTAAAATATTAGCTAACAAAATGGAAAAGTTAAAACTAACCATGACTCACCTCCAGAATAAGAAATTAATTTATAATAAATTAGTTTTTATAAAAAGTTATATAATTAGGGTTACTCAAATAAAATAATAAATGTAATAAAAGAAGATAAAGATTAATCAGAATAATTATATAAAAAATAAATAAAATTAGAAAAACATAAAAAGAGATAAAAATAACAATAAAGAAAATATATTGATTTTACTTTTTTTCAATATAGGATTCATCATTTGTTATATAAAGAATATTGTCTTAAATTTACAATTAATAGATGTAAATTCTCAATTAATTTGTCGATGTTTTTACTATTAAACAAAGTGTGTTATCAATTAAAAACAATAATTTTGTAGATTAATAATAGTAAATTTAACCAAAATACATTATCAATTAAATATTATACTATATGTTATCATGTCTTTTATACCAAGTAAAATACTAATTAATTAAAGTAAATTATTGATTAATACTTATTAAAGTTTTCATTTTTAATTAAAGTAGATTCTCAATATTGGCAAATTCTCATTTACATTTAATCAAAATAAATTATTAATTAACATTAAAAGTCGTGAGACTTGTATGATACATGTTATATAAAGGCTTAATTACCTACTTAGTCCCCATGTTAGGAGGTAATTTTCTGTTTAGTACCCAGTTTTAAAAGTGTAGGCATTTGGTACCTATGTTTTTTGAAATTTGTATCAATTCAATCCTATCAGTTAACGGCGTTATTATTGATGCGAGAAATTAAGGACGTTAATGATAGCCTGGGTGGAATAGCTATCAAATGTTTGAATGCATCTTCATTAACGTCCTTAATTTCTCGCATCAATTATAACGCCGTTAATTGGATAGGATTGAATTGATACAAATTTCAAAACATAGGTACCAAATGCCTACATTTTTAAAACCGGGTACTAAACAGAAAATTACCTCATAACATGGGGACTAAGTAGGTAATTAAGCCTTATATAAATTTAACACTATACTAACTTGTTACTAACTTTTGATTGAGAGAAAAAAAACATATAAAAATTAAATCACACTAATAATAAAAAAAATAATCAACCAATTATTACATTATAACCTCATTCGTTAAAAATTACAATAAAATCAATTAAAAGGCTTAGCATTCCATGACACATAAAAATGATATAAAAATAGAAGATGAGAAGGTGAAAACATAAAAAATGGTGGAGAACAACATATATATTATTGATGATCACCAGAATATCTGCTATACATGCATGTACTATTGTCTTAATACTAATAACACACAAAATTTAAGCAATATTGAAGACTCATAAAATTATATCCACATGATGTCTATCTTCACTTAAAACCACCTAGATCAATTCAACCTTTTATTTAAAACTAAATTCGCATTATATAATTAATTATAACATAGAAAAAGAAAAGAGAAAATGTTTGGAGGATTTGAGCAACTAAATTTGAGAGGGGTGAACTTTTTTTATCATTGCATGACTCAAGATATTACAGGAGAAAGTAATATTATTTTATGTTTAATTACAAAAATAATTATATGTTTTTTTTAATTTTTTACTGTTTACAATTTCATATTTAATATAATTTTATTAATTTGAATTTTCTCATTTTAAATAATAAATCACATTTCATAATAACAATAATAATAATAATTTTATTTAAACTAACAATTTATTTGAATTTAATTTCTTTCGAATTCATTCTATTTCAATATAATTGTATTCTTTTTAATTTTTTTTATTTTAAATAATAATTCATATTTCATTTTAACATAATTTATCATTAATATATTTTATTTTAATTTATTTTAATAACTAAAGATAAAATAATAATATTCTAATTATAATAATTAAAATATTTTTTAATTTATTAAATTCACCACATCATTTTTAGCCTCTAGCAAATTTTTCTCTTAAATTTCTTAAATTTTTATTATTTTTTAAAATCCAAATAACTTCAATTTCATATATCTTTTTTTCCACTCAAATTTATTTCTTATGTCCATGTTTTTAGAAACAAACAAACCTAAATATAATATTAAAAAAAATACTCCAACGTTTATTTAATCAAATCAGAACTATAATCATACAAAAAATTAAAAAAATAAAACATATTAGTACCATGAGATAAACTTGAACAATTATGAATATTAATATCTATATATTTAAAAGATAAGATAATACTATATATTAAATAGATAAAGTCATCTTAAAAAATATTAGTATTAAAAATATTTATATCAGATTTAAAAAGATAAAATAATATTACAATAAAAGTATTTGTATTATGGAGATATATTTCTATATTTGAAAAGGCAAAAAGAAAAGAGAACTTTGCAAAATACCATCAACACCCTTTCACTTATTAAGTTCGTGTCCCATTTTTTTAATGTTAAAAAATATATATCTCAGTCCAACTTTAAAATCCAACCATGCTTTCTAGATGCAACACCTAAAATCCCTATTTGTCACCCCTTAATTTAAATATAACATGCATTGCTTTAATCGCTTGTTTAATTTATTAAAATTAAACATATTAAATATTAAATTACCAAATCTAGTTAGAAAATTACACATAAATATTTAATTAAAATAGTTTAAAAAATTAACATTTATCTTGATAATAGATAATAGATATAAAATAATAATTACAAGCATGTAGATCAACTATAGTGTATCTGGTATGTTCGAGTAATAAATATTTTTATATATTACATATTTTGGAAATTAATTTCCGATGTATATTATAATAATTTTTTATTTAAACAATCTGCAATACATTATATAAGTTGTTTCAATATTAAGCAACAATCTATATAGTTAATTAAAAGTCAGAATTATTTATAATTATTTTAACTATTAAAAAAAGGGACTATTGAATTGAGTGAAGAAGAGGGTAGAGTTGAGAAATAAGAGGAAATGTGGTCCAGTGTGAGGTGTGTGCAAGGCAAAGCAATGCAAAGCTGCAGCGCACTTTCTCTCTCAACCAAACAAACAACAAGGCATCGTTGTCGACATCATTGCGATCCCAGAAACAAATGCAAACCCTTACAACACGTGTCCCTTTCGATTCACGAATTTCCATACTCACATTTCTTTATTTATTTCACCTCCCAACCAGTTTTTTTTTTCTTGCAAACAATTTTGGGTGGTCCCCACCATCTTCCTCTCCCGGATTTTTTTTTTAATCTGTATACTTTCACCAAGTCTGCTTCTTTGTTTCTTTCCTCAATTTAATTTCCCTTATCTTCTAGTTGTTCTTGTCATAATCCAAGGAGATAGATAATCAAACTCATTCACTCTTTCCCTTCGTTTGTGACGGAAATTGGTCTCCTGCTTAGGTTGTATGTCCATCTCAATTTCACACTTGCCTGCTACAACATGTTTTTCCAGTTGTCACTACTTCTTCACCGTATTTTACTCGTTTTTTTTTAGAAAGTAGAAAGAAAAAAAAGGGGTTACATTTTTTTTTGTGTATATTTTTTTCCCTCTGAGGGAAGGAAAGAGAGAAAGAAAGTTTATAGATACCGACATTTATGAAACAGAATGTGGGTGTTTGCAAGCAAGGCTTTATAAGTCAGTAAAGCCACTTTCTTCTTTCCATGAAAAATAGCTTGATCCCGTGCAACCACGCCAGCAGCATCTGCTTTATTGTTATTCTTTTTGGTTCTGGGGTGGAATCTACATATAAAAGTTGAAATCTTTGTTTCATTTCTTGGTGGTGGAAAATTGTTCTCCGAACTGATTTAGTGTTAGGTTGGTCGTAAGGTTTTTTATGCTTTTTTTTGTTTCTTATTTCTTTAAAGTGAATAACTCTCTCTCTCTAAGAATTGGGTGCTTCTATTTGTTTAATGGAAGATCATATATGGGTTTGCATTATTGGGTTTAACAGTTCATACCTAGTCACCAATACGCGTTTCGCATACGTATTGAAATATTTCTTTCTTCTCTTCTAGTTTGCTTGGTGTAGCAGTCTTATCTGATCTGGTTTTGCGCGTGGTGGACATCCAGACATTCACCCTGGTAATTCAGCTACTTTGTCGTCTACTTTTTAAGGTTGTAAATTGTTCTATGTTTTGGGTACGAACCCAGCAACAAGTTTTCCCTGTTTTTTTTTAAAGAAAAAAGTAATTCAAGCTCGTGGTTCATAAAGCTCAGTACAGGTCAAGATTTAATAAACAGCCTGCGATTTCAACTGCAGGTCGAGACTTTTTTGAGTCCGCCACAACAATTGTGGTTGCAGTTTCCTGCAATTGTGATTGCTATTGTGGTTGCTTTTGTCTGCAATTTCCCGTATTCGTACATTAAAACCTTGGTAGATGTCAAAACTGGGTCATACTTGCATGATGCATTGTTAAAAGTTGCTTTAGCACTTTGGATTTACATGCTTTATTTGCTTGTTTTTGGGGATGAGTAGGTAATTGTTGATCTTTGCGATGAATGTAGATCAGGCTGGGATAAAGTTTATATTGCCAAGAAGTGTTTACTCGTAGGAGGAGTGTTTTATGCTTGGAGGTCTAATATGCTTGCGAGAGTGAGGGCCTTTTGATTTCGAGTAATTGGTTGAGAGAAAAAGGGAAAGCTGAAGGTTCTTTGGTGGGGCAAGATATGGCCTCTGGTGAAGGGAGGCGGCGTCATCACGATCTTGTGCCTCTTGCCGCATTGCTCAAGAGAGAGATGAAGAGTGAGAAGATGGAAAAGCCTACTGTGAGGTTTGGACATGCAGCTCAGTCCAAGAAAGGGGAGGATTACTTTCTTATTAAGACAGATTGTCAGCGAGTGCCCGGGAACCCTTCATCATCCTTTTCTGTATTTGCGGTATTGTTCAACTTTTCTGCTTCTGATTATATTTTGCTCTGCTTGTTCTAATTGAAATTTAGCTTTACTTTTTAGTCTTGGGCTGTGGCAACAGTCCTTTCGGACTAAAATGAGTGTCCTTTTGGACGGAAGCACATCATCCTATGAGATGGTCACTCATTTCTTCTGGTTCACAGATCTTTGATGGGCATAATGGAAATGCTGCTGCTATTTTTACTAGGGAGAATTTGTTAAATCACGTGTTGAGTGCTCTTCCTCGTGGGCTTGGGCGAGATGAGTGGTTGCATGCTTTACCCAGGGCATTGGTTGCGGGTTTCGTTAAGACCGACAAGGAGTTTCAGAGCCGAGGTGTGGACTTTACCTTTTATTCTTTCACTTTTGGTGGTAGTATAGTTATTCATTCATATTGGGAGGGTTGAAATACGGAACAAGGGAATCCGTTTTACTGATTATCTGAGCCCTCATTTGGTTTTGTCTAGGAGAAACTTCTGGAACCACAGCCACGTTTGTAATAGTGGATAGGTGGACTGTTACTGTTGCATCTGTTGGAGATTCCCGTTGTGTACTAGATGCCCAGGGTGGTGCTATTTCCTCCTTAACTGTTGATCACAGACTTGAAGAGAATATTGAAGAGTATGTTTTTATCCCTTAAGGCCTAATTAGTTTGCTTATTATTTTTTTAATGCTTTTTGTTACAAGTTACTCTGTATGCACAGGAGNTGGATAGGATTGAATTGATACAAATTTCAAAACATAGGTACCAAATGCCTACATTTTTAAAACCGGGTACTAAACAGAAAATTACCTCATAACATGGGGACTAAGTAGGTAATTAAGCCTTATATAAATTTAACACTATACTAACTTGTTACTAACTTTTGATTGAGAGAAAAAAAACATATAAAAATTAAATCACACTAATAATAAAAAAAATAATCAACCAATTATTACATTATAACCTCATTCGTTAAAAATTACAATAAAATCAATTAAAAGGCTTAGCATTCCATGACACATAAAAATGATATAAAAATAGAAGATGAGAAGGTGAAAACATAAAAAATGGTGGAGAACAACATATATATTATTGATGATCACCAGAATATCTGCTATACATGCATGTACTATTGTCTTAATACTAATAACACACAAAATTTAAGCAATATTGAAGACTCATAAAATTATATCCACATGATGTCTATCTTCACTTAAAACCACCTAGATCAATTCAACCTTTTATTTAAAACTAAATTCGCATTATATAATTAATTATAACATAGAAAAAGAAAAGAGAAAATGTTTGGAGGATTTGAGCAACTAAATTTGAGAGGGGTGAACTTTTTTTATCATTGCATGACTCAAGATATTACAGGAGAAAGTAATATTATTTTATGTTTAATTACAAAAATAATTATATTTTTTTTTTAATTTTTTACTGTTTACAATTTCATATTTAATATAATTTTATTAATTTGAATTTTCTCATTTTAAATAATAAATCACATTTCATAATAACAATAATAATAATAATTTTATTTAAACTAACAATTTATTTGAATTTAATTTCTTTCGAATTCATTCTATTTCAATATAATTGTATTCTTTTTAATTTTTTTTATTTTAAATAATAATTCATATTTCATTTTAACATAATTTATCATTAATATATTTTATTTTAATTTATTTTAATAACTAAAGATAAAATAATAATATTCTAATTATAATAATTAAAATATTTTTTAATTTATTAAATTCACCACATCATTTATAGCATCTAGCAAATTTTTCTCTTAAATTTCTTAAATTTTTATTATTTTTTAAAATCCAAATAACTTCAATTTCATATATCTTTTTTTCCACTCAAATTTATTTCTTATGTCCATGTTTTTAGAAACAAACAAACCTAAATATAATATTAAAAAAAATACTCCAACGTTTATTTAATCAAATCAGAACTATAATCATACAAAAAATTAAAAAAATAAAACATATTAGTACCATGAGATAAACTTGAACAATTATGAATATTAATATCTATATATTTAAAAGATAAGATAATACTATATATTAAATAGATAAAGTCATCTTAAAAAATATTAGTATTAAAAATATTTATATCAGATTTAAAAAGATAAAATAATATTACAATAAAAGTATTTGTATTATGGAGATATATTTCTATATTTGAAAAGGCAAAAAGAAAAGAGAACTTTGCAAAATACCATCAACACCCTATCACTTATTAAGTTCGTGTCCCATTTTTTTAATGTTAAAAAATATATATCTCAGTCCAACTTTAAAATCCAACCATGCTTTCTAGATGCAACACCTAAAATCCCTATTTGTCACCCCCTTAATTTAAATATAACATGCATTGCTTTAATCGCTTGTTTAATTTATTAAAATTAAACATATTAAATATTAAATTACCAAATCTAGTTAGAAAATTACACATAAATATTTAATTAAAATAGTTTAAAAAATTAACATTTATCTTGATAATAGATAATAGATATAAAATAATAATTACAAGCATGTAGATCAACTATAGTGTATCTGGTATGTTCGAGTAATAAATATTTTTATATATTACATATTTTGGAAATTAATTTCCGATGTATATTATAATAATTTTTTATTTAAACAATCTGCAATACATTATATAAGTTGTTTCAATATTAAGCAACAATCTATATAGTTAATTAAAAGTCAGAATTATTTATAATTATTTTAACTATTAAAAAAAGGGACTATTGAATTGAGTGAAGAAGAGGGTAGAGTTGAGAAATAAGAGGAAATGTGGTCCAGTGTGAGGTGTGTGCAAGGCAAAGCAATGCAAAGCTGCAGCGCACTTTCTCTCTCAACCAAACAAACAACAAGGCATCGTTGTCGACATCATTGCGATCCCAGAAACAAATGCAAACCCTTACAACACGTGTCCCTTTCGATTCACGAATTTCCATACTCACATTTCTTTATTTATTTCACCTCCCAACCAGTTTTTTTTTTCTTGCAAACAATTTTGGGTGGTCCCCACCATCTTCCTCTCCCGGATTTTTTTTTTAATCTGTATACTTTCACCAAGTCTGCTTCTTTGTTTCTTTCCTCAATTTAATTTCCCTTATCTTCTAGTTGTTCTTGTCATAATCCAAGGAGATAGATAATCAAACTCATTCACTCTTTCCCTTCGTTTGTGACGGAAATTGGTCTCCTGCTTAGGTTGTATGTCCATCTCAATTTCACACTTGCCTGCTACAACATGTTTTTCCAGTTGTCACTACTTCTTCACCGTATTTTACTCGTTTTTTTTTAGAAAGTAGAAAGAAAAAAAAGGGGTTACATTTTTTTTTGTGTATATTTTTTTCCCTCTGAGGGAAGGAAAGAGAGAAAGAAAGTTTATAGATACCGACATTTATGAAACAGAATGTGGGTGTTTGCAAGCAAGGCTTTATAAGTCAGTAAAGCCACTTTCTTCTTTCCATGAAAAATAGCTTGATCCCGTGCAACCACGCCAGCAGCATCTGCTTTATTGTTATTCTTTTTGGTTCTGGGGTGGAATCTACATATAAAAGTTGAAATCTTTGTTTCATTTCTTGGTGGTGGAAAATTGTTCTCCGAACTGATTTAGTGTTAGGTTGGTCGTAAGGTTTTTTATGCTTTTTTTTGTTTCTTATTTCTTTAAAGTGAATAACTCTCTCTCTCTAAGAATTGGGTGCTTCTATTTGTTTAATGGAAGATCATATATGGGTTTGCATTATTGGGTTTAACAGTTCATACCTAGTCACCAATACGCGTTTCGCATACGTATTGAAATATTTCTTTCTTCTCTTCTAGTTTGCTTGGTGTAGCAGTCTTATCTGATCTGGTTTTGCGCGTGGTGGACATCCAGACATTCACCCTGGTAATTCAGCTACTTTGTCGTCTACTTTTTAAGGTTGTAAATTGTTCTATGTTTTGGGTACGAACCCAGCAACAAGTTTTCCCTGTTTTTTTTTAAAGAAAAAAGTAATTCAAGCTCGTGGTTCATAAAGCTCAGTACAGGTCAAGATTTAATAAACAGCCTGCGATTTCAACTGCAGGTCGAGACTTTTTTGAGTCCGCCACAACAATTGTGGTTGCAGTTTCCTGCAATTGTGATTGCTATTGTGGTTGCTTTTGTCTGCAATTTCCCGTATTCGTACATTAAAACCTTGGTAGATGTCAAAACTGGGTCATACTTGCATGATGCATTGTTAAAAGTTGCTTTAGCACTTTGGATTTACATGCTTTATTTGCTTGTTTTTGGGGATGAGTAGGTAATTGTTGATCTTTGCGATGAATGTAGATCAGGCTGGGATAAAGTTTATATTGCCAAGAAGTGTTTACTCGTAGGAGGAGTGTTTTATGCTTGGAGGTCTAATATGCTTGCGAGAGTGAGGGCCTTTTGATTTCGAGTAATTGGTTGAGAGAAAAAGGGAAAGCTGAAGGTTCTTTGGTGGGGCAAGATATGGCCTCTGGTGAAGGGAGGCGGCGTCATCACGATCTTGTGCCTCTTGCCGCATTGCTCAAGAGAGAGATGAAGAGTGAGAAGATGGAAAAGCCTACTGTGAGGTTTGGACATGCAGCTCAGTCCAAGAAAGGGGAGGATTACTTTCTTATTAAGACAGATTGTCAGCGAGTGCCCGGGAACCCTTCATCATCCTTTTCTGTATTTGCGGTATTGTTCAACTTTTCTGCTTCTGATTATATTTTGCTCTGCTTGTTCTAATTGAAATTTAGCTTTACTTTTTAGTCTTGGGCTGTGGCAACAGTCCTTTCGGACTAAAATGAGTGTCCTTTTGGACGGAAGCACATCATCCTATGAGATGGTCACTCATTTCTTCTGGTTCACAGATCTTTGATGGGCATAATGGAAATGCTGCTGCTATTTTTACTAGGGAGAATTTGTTAAATCACGTGTTGAGTGCTCTTCCTCGTGGGCTTGGGCGAGATGAGTGGTTGCATGCTTTACCCAGGGCATTGGTTGCGGGTTTCGTTAAGACCGACAAGGAGTTTCAGAGCCGAGGTGTGGACTTTACCTTTTATTCTTTCACTTTTGGTGGTAGTATAGTTATTCATTCATATTGGGAGGGTTGAAATACGGAACAAGGGAATCCGTTTTACTGATTATCTGAGCCCTCATTTGGTTTTGTCTAGGAGAAACTTCTGGAACCACAGCCACGTTTGTAATAGTGGATAGGTGGACTGTTACTGTTGCATCTGTTGGAGATTCCCGTTGTGTACTAGATGCCCAGGGTGGTGCTATTTCCTCCTTAACTGTTGATCACAGACTTGAAGAGAATATTGAAGAGTATGTTTTTATCCCTTAAGGCCTAATTAGTTTGCTTATTATTTTTTTAATGCTTTTTGTTACAAGTTACTCTGTATGCACAGGAGGGAACGTGTAACTGCTAGTGGAGGTGAAGTTGGGAGACTTAGCATAGTTGGTGGTGCAGAGGTGAGCATATTTAGTTGTACTTATATTTATTTTTTCATCCTAAAATGGAAGAAAGGAGAAATCTTCCATTTCTCCCATGCCCCCTTTTCAGCATCTAATTTAGGGAGTTTTGAATTTTGCTTATCCTTGTTTTGAAGTATAGTTCTGAACCATTACAGATTGGTCCCCTTCGATGCTGGCCAGGGGGTCTATGCCTTTCTAGGTCAATTGGAGACATGGATGTTGGAGAGTTCATTGTTCCCATACCATATGTCAAACAAGTGAAGGTATAATTTGTTTCCAGATAATTTCATTTTCTTTATGTCAGATATTACAATGCCTATGCAGCCAGTGAGGTCTTTGTTCAGGATAAAAGCTTACTCTTTGTGATGGATTATAGCTATCAAAGGCTGGTGGGAGGCTTATAATTGCATCTGATGGCATATGGGATGCTCTATCATCAGAAATGGCTGCAAAATCTTGTCGAGGTTTGCCTGCGGAACTTGCAGCTATGCAGGTTGTCAAGGTAGTATGCACTACATTGCTATCCGTAGTTTAACCAAATCAGCATGTCTTCTGGCTTGTGATTGACATTAGCATAGTGTTACAGAGTTTGCATTTCTTCTCACTTGTATATACATTTCAACTGTTATTCAGGAAGCACTACGAACGAGAGGATTAAAGGATGATACAACTTGCATAGTAGTTGACATAATCCCACCTGATAATGAATTGCCACCAACACCTCCCCCCCAAAAGCGGAACAAGCTGAGAGATCTTCTTTCCTTCAGGAAGAGATCCCGTGATTCTGCAAGTAAGCTATCAAAAAAGCTTTCAGCTATAAATATAGTGGAGGAACTGTTTGAAGAAGGATCGGCAATGCTTGCTGAAAGGTAATCCGTAGTTCTCTTTCGTAGGAAAAATTATTCAATTGAGGAAAATGAGAAAATTTCATGAAGGTTACTTGCATTTTTGTTTTCCATATTTATTATGTCATTAAAAGTAGGGGAGTATTACTGACTGGTAAGTGATATGCAGGGATAGTTTGTGAGATACGTGCAGGCATTAAGGATTATTCTGACAGCCATTTGTTTATTTAATTGATCTTGTTCAGATCAACTTGGATTTTTCTTCATCTAACATTAATGGACTTGTCTCTGCGCGCATTAAGTTTGCTCCCCAACAAAAAGCGCAAACATTAAGGATCTTCAATGTTATGCATTGCCATTTATGAATATCACCCATGGCTATAGACTCTGTTTCAATTCGAGTAGGTTTTCATATAGGATTAGAGTTTGTTGGACATGATTTTGAAGATAAGAACTTATGATAGGAAGGTGTTCAAATTCTGTTTACACACTGTATGTTACTATTTAAAACAGTATTTCCCTCATAAATATTTATATCTGTCATATCCAAATTCTGTTTTGACAGTGTTACTATTAGAAACAGTATTTCCCTCATAAATATTTATATCAGCACCCTTCTTGATCAAACGAACTAAAATTTTATCTTTATTTTCAGTGTTACAGTACATTATATAGTTTAATCAGTTTACGATGTGCCGATAAATATATGTACATTATAGTTCTCTCTTAATTGATACGATATCCACTAGGGATCTACGTGACCCAATTTCAATGTGTTGTGTAGCTATGAGTTTGTTCTTGGTGGAAGTATTTTCCTGGTTTGCTTATGGAGTTATTAGAATTGCTGAATCACAAATTCTATCTTATTCTTTGAAATGCTTTGACATCAGTTAGTATGCCTTGCTTGCAGATTAGGAAATGATGACAACTTGAACACGGGGCAATCAACATCTGGTATTTTTGTTTGTGCTGTTTGTCAAGTTGATCTTGCTCCAAGTGAGGGCATTTCTGTCCACGCCGGTTCAATTTTCTCCACCAGCTCCAAACCCTGGCAAGGTCCCTTTCTTTGTTCTGATTGCCGTGATAAGAAGGATGCCATGGAAGGAAAACGTCCAAGTGGAGTTAAGGTCTCATAGGCTCAAAATTGGGGTCTTATTCTAGAATTCTTTATGCTACCTTTCACATTTTTTGTATTAACGATTTTTATAGCAAATTAATTGATTGAATCTCACTTGAAGTAGCGACAGATGTATATGTAATATCCGCAAATTCATCTAAAATGGGTATTGCGTTAGAGTAGTAAACCATGGCTGGGAGAGTGCCTGGAAGGGTTTTTGGGCGGCTGAAGATTCTTCACCTCTGATTCATCCTTAGATTTGGAAGGTTAAAATCGGTGCCTGGTAAATTCTTTTGTATAGTAGTTAATGTACCCACAAAAGTGGTTGTCATCTTCATCTTCTATGAAGCATTGCGTGCTTTGTACAAATTTCCATCACCTTTCCAACCCTTGGGGATTGAAACGCTTTCAAAAATTAATCCATCCAAATTCACGTCAGCAATTTTTTATTTAGTGGCAGAAATGCTATGATTCATCTAAATGTCTGCCACGAAATACTTTTTTACAGCATCTGGCACAAAACACACGATCACTTCAATTTAAAGTTCGTACGAACAGCTTCCATGGTCGAAGACAAATAACAAAGTCATAATGTATCCAGAAAAACCATTTACAGGCTAGAATTAGTTCATTCAAAATGTTTGTGGACCAATGAGCACAGTATCTTTTTGGCCCACTACGTTTTGATAGCATTATTTCGGTACAATAGTTTACGTCTACTTTTTGAAAACCAAGTCACAAAAGAATTCAAAAACTACCAAAAAATGGTCGAAGCTCAACGTGATTAGAAGATAAAAATGTTAAAAAGTGACAGCGGAAGAGAATAAACCTGAATAAAAGTTCAATCGTTTTGGTTAAGAAGTTATTGCACATGGTGGATGGTTTCGTACTCACCACAAAAGAGTTCTATGGAAGGAAAAAAAGAACTACGTGATGAGAGTTTTCTGAAAAGAAGTTACCAAAGCGCAACATTGTTGTATATTTGCTACACAGATTAGAAATGAAGCACGTTGCTTCAAGAAATTGAACGGAAAACGTGGTGGGTCACATTCTTCATTATTGGAGTAATAAAGATGATCCCATAACCGAAAACATGTTTGTCATCTACCTATTTTTCTCCAAGTATTTGATGCTCTCTTCCCAAGTCAACTTCTGAATCAAATGCACATTTTAGAAGGGGTCATACATGACAAGACAGAACTTCATTCTAAAAAAAATTGGAAATTTGGGAAGTTGATTTGTTGTGCTTCATTCGTGTAAAATTATCTCATCAATGAACGTACTGTAAATTGTCACCAAACTAGCATTTATGCACCCTTTCTTGAATCACAAGAAAAAAAAACATGCAATAGGCTGCGTATGCGTTATACATTGTTTGCTTTGATCTTTTTTTTCTTCTGTATTGTGCGGTGGAAGAGATGTAAATGTTAAGAAGTGTTGGGTCTACCGAATAGGAGGTTTATCCGGGAGACACAATACTAATGAGATATGAGCCCAATCATATAAAGAATTGACATCACTCTCTTCCAAAAACCTTAGGGCAAGAGGTTAACGAGTCTTTCATCTTTATATAGTACTGATCAATCCCTTATATGGTTGGGCTCAAATGTCATTCGTGTCTTTCCGGTGAACCTCCTCCTAGATAGACCCAATATATAGTGGTATGGTTTATCTTGGTGACCGGCTTAAAAGAGTATAATTTTTCTTATATCGAAAGTCTTCTTCTAGGTAAGTGAGGTACGAAAGGCTACTTGTAGTTGTGGTTGGTTGGGAATGCTTCCGTTGAAAGGGGAATGTACCTATGTGGAAATGACTCATCATTGAGGGAGAGATTGTTGGAAATTTTAAGGGTAAGTCTAAGTCTAAACCCCACATTAGATAAAAATGAGAAAGTAGAGCATTATATAAAAATGAAAAACTCATTAACTCATTGTCTTAAGGTTTTGAGTAGAGAGTGATGTCAATTTCTTATAAGGATTGATTCATTTTTAACTTGGACATATGATAAACTAAACACTTTCATTCAAATTTTTTTTATTAACTATTTATTTCTAATCTATTAATGCTTTAAGTGTAAACATATATTAGAGATATATTTGAGGAAACCAACCTATAAACTAGTTGCTAGTTGTTAAGCTCCTATCTTATAAATTTTGAACTCATGAATTAGCTTATCTTAAAAGTGTTGGTAAATTAAACCATAAAATAGTTGATAAAATTAGCTGATAAACTAGTTGGCCAATGAAAATACCATAAGTTTCATTATACAATTAACATTTTCAAGAAAAGAATATTATTATTTAATTATAATTTTAGATTTTTCTAAAAGTGATTAACTTCTTGTTAAAATTTTTTATTTTTTTTTATTTTTTATTTGAATAAATCATTTTTATCGGATTAGTTCTCTAATGAGTATTAATTAAATTTAATTATTAATTTTCAAAAGTTATTTTTTGTCTGTCATTTCAAAATACTATTTTTTTATAATTTCTATTGAGTGTAATTTTCATATATTATCATGTAATAAGGAATTGGTTACTTCAATTTGTAATATTAAGTTTTTTGTACTTTAATTGCATAAAAAATTAAAAGCTAACCCAACAAATAATGAAAATGGTAAGTTAATTAATTGTGGTTACAAAATAAAAAACAAATATGTCATAATAAATAAAAGGATAAAACATAATAAAAATATAATCAAATATAAATCATAATAATAAAAGAAAATTATAAAAAAAATAAAATTAAAGAGTACAGACTATAAGCTATCTAATGTGGTTTAAAACTTATAAGCCACCCTCTCCTAAAATTGGCTATTTTAAGTATCTTATCAAACAATATTCTCAAACTATATTATAAATTAGTTAATTAAGTTGGCAGTCAGTTAGTCATTAGCAAATACATTGTAGATAATGTATACTAAAGGCATGTTTGGCACTAAAGGCATGTTTGGCAATTAGTCACTATTAGTTAATTACTAGTTGATGAATTTGTAACTTATAAATTCCGAAATGATAAGTTTATTGTTTTAAAAATATTTAATAAATTTATTCATAAACTAGTTGATAAATATTAAAAGATATAATATATGATTACATAAGTTTTACTATACAAATGAAATTTGTGTTGTCTAGATAAAAATATTTTATGTAATTATTAATTTAAATTTCTTTAAAATAATTAAATTCTTATGAAATTATAATTATATACTTTTTTTTNTAATTGAAATTTAGCTTTACTTTTTAGTCTTGGGCTGTGGCAACAGTCCTTTCGGACTAAAATGAGTGTCCTTTTGGACGGAAGCACATCATCCTATGAGATGGTCACTCATTTCTTCTGGTTCACAGATCTTTGATGGGCATAATGGAAATGCTGCTGCTATTTTTACTAGGGAGAATTTGTTAAATCACGTGTTGAGTGCTCTTCCTCGTGGGCTTGGGCGAGATGAGTGGTTGCATGCTTTACCCAGGGCATTGGTTGCGGGTTTCGTTAAGACCGACAAGGAGTTTCAGAGCCGAGGTGTGGACTTTACCTTTTATTCTTTCACTTTTGGTGGTAGTATAGTTATTCATTCATATTGGGAGGGTTGAAATACGGAACAAGGGAATCCGTTTTACTGATTATCTGAGCCCTCATTTGGTTTTGTCTAGGAGAAACTTCTGGAACCACAGCCACGTTTGTAATAGTGGATAGGTGGACTGTTACTGTTGCATCTGTTGGAGATTCCCGTTGTGTACTAGATGCCCAGGGTGGTGCTATTTCCTCCTTAACTGTTGATCACAGACTTGAAGAGAATATTGAAGAGTATGTTTTTATCCCTTAAGGCCTAATTAGTTTGCTTATTATTTTTTTAATGCTTTTTGTTACAAGTTACTCTGTATGCACAGGAGGGAACGTGTAACTGCTAGTGGAGGTGAAGTTGGGAGACTTAGCATAGTTGGTGGTGCAGAGGTGAGCATATTTAGTTGTACTTATATTTATTTTTTCATCCTAAAATGGAAGAAAGGAGAAATCTTCCATTTCTCCCATGCCCCCTTTTCAGCATCTAATTTAGGGAGTTTTGAATTTTGCTTATCCTTGTTTTGAAGTATAGTTCTGAACCATTACAGATTGGTCCCCTTCGATGCTGGCCAGGGGGTCTATGCCTTTCTAGGTCAATTGGAGACATGGATGTTGGAGAGTTCATTGTTCCCATACCATATGTCAAACAAGTGAAGGTATAATTTGTTTCCAGATAATTTCATTTTCTTTATGTCAGATATTACAATGCCTATGCAGCCAGTGAGGTCTTTGTTCAGGATAAAAGCTTACTCTTTGTGATGGATTATAGCTATCAAAGGCTGGTGGGAGGCTTATAATTGCTTCTGATGGCATATGGGATGCTCTATCATCAGAAATGGCTGCAAAATCTTGTCGAGGTTTGCCTGCGGAACTTGCAGCTATGCAGGTTGTCAAGGTAGTATGCACTACATTGCTATCCGTAGTTTAACCAAATCAGCATGTCTTCTGGCTTGTGATTGACATTAGCATAGTGTTACAGAGTTTGCATTTCTTCTCACTTGTATATACATTTCAACTGTTATTCAGGAAGCACTACGAACGAGAGGATTAAAGGATGATACAACTTGCATAGTAGTTGACATAATCCCACCTGATAATGAATTGCCACCAACACCTCCCCCCCAAAAGCGGAACAAGCTGAGAGATCTTCTTTCCTTCAGGAAGAGATCCCGTGGTTCTGCAAGTAAGCTATCAAAAAAGCTTTCAGCTATAAATATAGTGGAGGAACTGTTTGAAGAAGGATCGGCAATGCTTGCTGAAAGGTAATCCGTCGTTCTCTTTCGTAGGAAAAATTATTCAATTGAGGAAAATGAGAAAATTTCATGAAGGTTACTTGCATTTTTGTTTTCCATATTTATTATGTCATTAAAAGTAGGGGTGTATTACTGACTGGTAAGTGATATGCTGGGATAGTTTGTGAGATACGTGCAGGCATTAAGGATTCTTCTGACAGCCATTTGTTTATTTAATTGATCTTGTTCAGATCAACTTGGATTTTTCTTCATCTAACATTAATGGACTTGTCTCTGCGCGCATTAAGTTTGCTCCCCAACAAAAAGCGCAAACATTAAGGATCTTCAATGTTATGCATTGCCATTTATGAATATCACCCATGGCTATAGACTCTGTTTCAATTCGAGTAGGTTTTCATATAGGATTAGAGTTTGTTGGACATGATTTTGAAGATAAGAACTTATGATAGGAAGGTGTTCAAATTCTGTTTACACACTGTATGTTACTATTTAAAACAGTATTTCCCTCATAAATATTTATATCTGTCATATCCAAATTCTGTTTTGACAGTGTTACTATTAGAAACAGTATTTCCCTCATAAATATTTATATCAGCACCCTTCTTGATCAAACGAACTAAAATTTTATCTTTATTTTCAGTGTTACAGTACATTATATAGTTTAATCAGTTTACGATGTGCCGATAAATATATGTACATTATAGTTCTCTCTTAATTGATACGATATCCACTAGGGATCTACGTGACCCAATTTCAATGTGTTGTGTAGCTATGAGTTTGTTCTTGGTGGAAGTATTTTCCTGGTTTGCTTATGGAGTTATTAGAATTGCTGAATCACAAATTCTATCTTATTCTTTGAAATGCTTTGACATCAGTTAGTATGCCTTGCTTGCAGATTAGGAAATGATGACAACTTGAACACGGGGCAATCAACATCTGGTATTTTTGTTTGTGCTGTTTGTCAAGTTGATCTTGCTCCAAGTGAGGGCATTTCTGTCCACGCCGGTTCAATTTTCTCCACCAGCTCCAAACCCTGGCAAGGTCCCTTTCTTTGTTCTGATTGCCGTGATAAGAAGGATGCCATGGAAGGAAAACGTCCAAGTGGAGTTAAGGTCTCATAGGCTCAAAATTGGGGTCTTATTCTAGAATTCTTTATGCTACCTTTCACATTTTTTGTATTAACGATTTTTATAGCAAATTAATTGATTGAATCTCACTTGAAGTAGCGACAGATGTATATGTAATATCCGCAAATTCATCTAAAATGGGTATTGCGTTCGAGTAGTAAACCATGGCTGGGAGAGTGCCTGGAAGGGTTTTTGGGCGGCTGAAGATTCTTCACCTCTGATTCATCCTTAGATTTGGAAGGTTAAAATCGGTGCCTGGTAAATTCTTTTGTATAGTAGTTAATGTACCCACAAAAGTGGTTGTCATCTTCATCTTCTATGAAGCATTGCGTGCTTTGTACAAATTTCCATCACCTTTCCAACCCTTGGGGATTGAAACGCTTTCAAAAATTAATCCATCCAAATTCACGTCAGCAATTTTTTATTTAGTGGCAGAAATGCTATGATTCATCTAAATGTCTGCCACGAAATACTTTTTTACAGCATCTGGCACAAAACACACGATCACTTCAATTTAAAGTTCGTACGAACAGCTTCCATGGTCGAAGACAAATAACAAAGTCATAATGTATCCAGAAAAACCATTTACAGGCTAGAATTAGTTCATTCAAAATGTTTGTGGACCAATGAGCACAGTATCTTTTTGGCCCACTACGTTTTGATAGCATTATTTCGGTACAATAGTTTACGTCTACTTTTTGAAAACCAAGTCACAAAAGAATTCAAAAACTACCAAAAAATGGTCGAAGCTCAACGTGATTAGAAGATAAAAATGTTAAAAAGTGACAGCGGAAGAGAATAAACCTGAATAAAAGTTCAATCGTTTTGGTTAAGAAGTTATTGCACATGGTGGATGGTTTCGTACTCACCACAAAAGAGTTCTATGGAAGGAAAAAAAGAACTACGTGATGAGAGTTTTCTGAAAAGAAGTTACCAAAGCGCAACATTGTTGTATATTTGCTCCACAGATTAGAAATGAAGCACGTTGCTTCAAGAAATTGAACGGAAAACGTGGTGGGTCACATTCTTCATTATTGGAGTAATAAAGATGATCCCATAACCGAAAACATGTTTGTCATCTACCTATTTTTCTCCAAGTATTTGATGCTCTCTTCCCAAGTCAACTTCTGAATCAAATGCACATTTTAGAAGGGGTCATACATGACAAGACAGAACTTCATTCTAAAAAACATTGGGAATTTGGGAAGTTGATTTGCTGTGCTTCATTCGTGTAAAATTATCTCATCAATGATCGTATTGTAAATTGTCACCAAACTAGCATTTATGCACCTTTCTTGAATCACAAGAAAAAAAAAACATGCAATAGGCTGCGTATGCGTTATACATTGTTTGCTTTGATCTTTTTTTCTTCTTCTGTATTGTGCAGTGGAAGAGATGTAAATGCTAAAAAGTGTTGGGTCTACCGAAGAGGAGATTTATCCGGGAGACACAATACTAATGAGATATGAGCTCAATCATATAAGGAATTGACATCACTCTCTATCCAGAACCTTAAGACAATAGGTTAATGAGTCTTTCATCTTTATATAGTGCTGATCAATCCCTTATATGGTTGGGCTCAAATGTCATTCGTGTCTTCCCGATGAACCTCCTCCTACATAGACCCAATAGTGGTATGGTTTGTCTTGATGACCGGCTTAAAAGAGTATAATTTTTCCTATATCGAAAGTCTTCTCCTAGGTAAGTGAGGTACGAAAGGCTACTTGTGGTTGTGGTTGGTTGGGAATGCTTCTGCTGGAAGGGGAGTGTACCTATGTAGAAATGACTCATCATTGAGGGGGAGATTGTTGGGAATTTTAAGTGTAAGTCTAAGTCTAAGTCCCACATTGGATAAAAATGAGAAAGTAGAGCATTATATAAAAATAAAAAACTTATTAACTCATTGTCTTAAGGTTTTGATTAGAGAGTGATGTCAATATTTTTAACTGTTATTGTGTCTCCAGGTGAAATATAAGTTCTTTGTGTATCTAACCCTTCATGTAGAGCGAATTTGACCGGCTTTTGAGTATTGATGTCCTCTATAAGAAGAATCGGACATATGATAAACTAAAACACTTTCATTCAAATTTTTTTTATTAACTATTTATTTCTAATCTATTAATGCTTTAAGTGTAAACTAATCTATTAATGCTTTTAAGTGTAAACATATATTAGAGATATATTTGAGAAAACCAACCGATAAACTAGTTGTTAGTTGTTAAGCTCCTATCTTATAAATTTTGAACTCATGAATTAGCTTATCTTAAAAGTGTTGGTAAAATTAAAGGATAAAATAGTTGATAAAACTAGCTGATAAACTAGTTGGCGAATGAAAATACCGTAAGTTTTATTATACAATTAACATTTTCAAGAAAAGAATATTATTATTTAATTATAATTTTAGATTTTTTAAAAGTGATTAACTTCT